GTCAAATATACTGCTAAAATCCAATCGCTCAAATCAGAGATTAAAACACTGAAGAGAAAGGCGACTTTGGCCCAGAAAGCTTCGTTCGCTGACAAAGTCCAGATTCTTTCTCTTGAAACTAAAATACGTGAATTGGAAGGTAAGTTGGAGGACATAGATCTAGAGCGCACATATCATGATTTGGATGCAATGGGAGGGGAGCCGGCCCAAATAAGCTCATCCGAAATAGAATCTCTCAGGCTTGAATTGGAACATGCGAAGGAGGACCGTAATTCGAAAGAATATACAATAGAATGTATGGAAAAGGGGATAGAGTCGTCAAATAATATATTCAAATAGGAAATAGATAGCCGGTCTTCAGAACGATTAAAATTAATGGAGGAAAATAGGTCCCTCAAGGACCAGTTAGCGTTAAAGAAAAATACTTCGTCCCAAATAATTTCGAGTGAGGGGATTCCTTTGGAATCGGGTGGCGCAGAAGCAGTACCATTGTCCTAAGAAATATCTCTAGCACCGGCTATTCCTGTCGTTGCGAGTTCTCTAATGTTGCCGATGATAACATATTCCATGCTTGCCTTACTACTGATTGTGGTTATATGGCTCGTAGTCAGGAAATGGTGGAATCCATGGAGTATGAATAAAAAAAATGACCGATATTTCACATACGAAAAATATATAAATAGGCCGGATATTTATTATCTCAATATCTAATCGACTACCGTATAAGTACTGGCGCGAGCGGGACTTCTCTGAATCTTCTTTGGATGTGGGCTAATACCTTTTTTGATAAATCTTCGGGCGGATTTATTAATATCTTTTTAGCTTGGGCCAGTGTACATGCAAACAACCATCCAATATAGATCCGGTTACCTCCCTTACCATTATGACCGTGTTGTAGTAAATATTGATAGTCATCCATTACGATATCTCTCATCCCTTCCTGATCTGCTATTATTTTGCGAAATAACCATCTATCATCTTCTGTGATTGGGAAATGGATTTTGTTAGGTTCGAAGTCTATGTACTGGGAAACTTGGTCACGTAGTTCAGCCATTATACCAATAAAGCTTATGTTTAAAAACACTAGTGATCCAAAATAGCCGTTAAGGCGCTTCGCAAAAATAGGCCTTAGCCACGGAGTATATCACATGTTATTGGCCGGCCCCGGCTGAAAAATACTAATGATCATCTCCGGGCATATCTGTGGCCGGGCTATATGATCGGAGGTCGGAAGTTCGAAGATAAAAATTGAAGTTAGCCGGTATTATTGCAAGAGAAAAAAATATATATATAAATAATATTGTATGGATTCTTAGCCGGAATTACCACACCCCGTTAAGAGTACTTAACAATATTATCTATTTAAGTACTTTGCTAGCGCCTCTGACCCAGTTATATCCTCAAGATGGAAATACCATAAATTATTAATGTCGTCTAATGCCCCAATTTCTGATATATGAGGTAAGGCAGGTAGGTCAGCAATTATCTCATTTTTTCGCATGGATGAAACTGGGCCGATTTCTTCTGGAATTGATACATGCTCTTTGTAACGCATATGATAGACCAATTTGTGAAAGAATAAATTATACTCTTCAATGCATTTTACAAGCTCACTAGGATATCGAGCAAAGTCAGAGCATATTTTTTTCTTCATTTCGTCATCTACTGAGAGGTTTTTATCTTTTGAAATTTTCCTAGCACATTTCATAAATTTCTCCCATAATACCTCGATAGGGTTACTTACCATGAAAATCTCGTAGCTAAGCCATTCACCATGAAATATTTCGTATAAGTACCCTATCTTTTGATACAACATTTCTTGTGCCTTTTTGACCGCAGTTCTGTAAGCACGCTTGTAAGCAATCTCACGAGATTCCATCATCTTGGAAGTAACACCATTGACTATGATATTTTCTTTTACGAATCCCTCAAGCCATGACTTGGCCTTGTTTTGAGCGTAGTCATCAATTTGCTTATATTTCTCATCTGGGTCTTCGATTCGCATGATTCGACTTGAGGGTTCTGGCTCATACTTCTTGTCATACATGATAAATCAGGCACAGAGGCCAATAATAGTTTTTTCGAAATAATGGTATAAATCTAGTTCCTTCCCCAATTCCTTAGCTACATCGGCGAATTCCATTTTTTCGCCTTTAGTTGGTTTTAACTTTCTGCCATGCAAATCAAAAGTGGTCTCGGGGTGGGCCACTATATAACTAAAGCGTCCATCTGGCACTGGAATCCTACTATCATATTCCCCTTGCATTCGTCCCATAAATCGCTGAACGGCTTTGTTGTCTTTATCGGGTTTCCATGCATCAGTCTCTATAAACTGCTCGAAAATCCATTAGTTGGGATAGATTATAGCATCACTGAGAACATCCTCAACAATTTTATGGAGAGAGCGCTCGTTGTTGATATCCCTGACTTCACTCATAATCCGCTCACCTATGGTTTTAAAAAGCTGGGATTTGCCCTGTTTCACAGTATCAATTCCTCTTATGAAAGGATCCTTCAGACCGAAGTTTACTGCATCTTCATGCTTGGTGCCAAAATATTTTTTCTTCCCAGTGAAGACTACTGGGAATAGCACTTCTTCATAAGCCATTTCGAGATAACCCGATCTGGTTTTCAGCCTAAGAAAACTGTTTACTTCATTACGCAATTTCTCCATTACGCCCATAGTAATTGTGACCATTTCGGTCCAGTACTCTAGCTTCGAAATTGTGCCTTTCCCGCTATTGTAGGCCAGATCACATTTCTCATAATAAGAATCTGGGCAAGTGAGATATAGGGAATCAGTATCCCCGTATTTTATCCCAAAGCCCTTCTTTTTCACGAATTCTGCGACGAATTTGATATTCTCTCGCCCAGCTGAAGTAACACCCCCAGCAAGTGCTAGTGTATAGAACGGGAAATCACTTTGGCCGGTCACACCATAGAACGAATTCATATATAATTTAATCGCCTTCTGCTTCGAATTTAAAGAATTGTATTCAAAACAAATAGAACTATATTTTTTCATAAAATCATCATATGATAAATCAGCTCCATCAGATCGCTCCTCCGGAACAATAAAGGGACTTAGGATCTTGGTCATCTCTGCGTGCCTCTCAGTATTTTTTACAGAGGATAAAACATCTTTGATTGCGTTCACTACCAGGAAAGATCCGCCAGCTGAATCCATTTTACTTTTAACTTTCCCCATATATTCCTTTTTCTTTCCGAGAACTTTAAGTTGGGCCTTTAATTCATTCCGTATATTGAGCAGATTTTTCAATATTTTTGTAAATAGACCTTCCTGATCAGATTTATTTCCATGCCGTATGGTCCAGGCTCGCACAGGTTTACCGCCATACTTGAACTCGATACTGTGAAGCACTTTATTCTCTCTCTTTAACTTATCTACTTCCGAAAGTGTTGAGACCATCTTCTCGGGTGAGAGGTTGTAAGTCATAATTATGCTAGGATACAAGGATCTAAAGTCTAAACCAGTGACAGGACGCTTATTTTCAAGACCCTTTTCTGGCGGGAACACATACGCTCCTGGAAACTTCCCAGATGCTTTCTGATTGGAAATTTTCGTGGTGTATAAAATGTCCTGCGACCAAGCTTCAGCGCCTAAGAGATTGGATACTTTCGTTCCTATAGCATAATAATGTGAGTCGAATAATAATATATGAGCGATTGAGGCCACCTCTCTGTAATCATTTATAACATTAGATTTGACCATGAGCTCCTGACAACGTAAAGCATCTATAACACAATAATTTACGATTTCATGCATATGTTTTTTGGAAGAGTCGAAAGCCCTGTCTTTCGCTTCAGAATAATACTTCCATAATTTGCTCATGGGCATATCGGCTTTACCATCGAGACCATATTTTTCTAAGAAGTATTTTAGTGATGTTTTCTCAGAGCGGGGGTGAAGTTGCATAAAACTTGCGCGAACATCGATCGGTACACACCCCGGAAGTTTAAGAAAAGAGGATTCGAAAGTCAAAGAGGGATTGATTTTGATATTGATAGATTCCCGTCCTAACGCTTTTTTGGGACCTCTGTCCTCTTTCTTTACGTACTGGTCCCTTCGGAAGAAACCATTAGTTAGTGGCTTCCCTTTTCCGCCAAAATAATTCCAAGTGAGGATAGATTCAGCATCAGCTTTCTTATGCGGGTTTGCCGACATTCGCTGGACCATCCACTCGAGAACATTTAATTTGGTGGCCTTTTCCACAATGAAAGGCCAATCGTATCCTGAATCATTAAATCCAAGTTCGATGTCTGGGGCAAAAGATTTCCAACATAAAGCGAACGCCTTTATTATATTAGTCTGGTTTCCGCATATAATCGTAATCCAGCGCGGGTCTGGTTCCGTTTCTACATCAACTAAACATATCCGCTCTAAGGGGATCAGATCATCTTTCCAATGCAGGGTCATACAGATCGTAAAAACTTGAGATGTGTCATTTTTAGCTTCTGGGAAGTTTCCTGACCCACAAAAGTCGTATGTTTCTATATCCCATGTTAGGACTAATGCTCGGTCATAGGTAAAGAGAGAAGATGGGTATATTTTGTAAAATGGTTCAAAATTGTCTATAGGACGAAAGTTTTCAATGTGGACATAAAATGCATGTGGACAATGTTGGGATTTTGCATAATAAGGTGCACTGAAATTATATCTATAATCACTTATTAATCCCCACCCGGAAAAAGGTATTCTATACTCTCTCGCAACTTTACGATAATATGTGCCTGTATCGTCTGAAGCTGTCTCTATTTTACATTCAGGATCAACCTTTGAATTGTAGCTTGAGATAATATCGAGAGCGGTGAACCTTAGATCTTTATTAGGTGTGACAATGCGAAGATATGGCTTTTTTTCTGCATAGTATCCACGAATAGGATATGCCTTTATACATTCCATCTGGATTAGATTCATGTTTACGGTCTTCCCCTCGTTGTCTTTCCCAGTAGCAAGAATGCCCTTCACTTTAGACCAGAATTTAGGGATACTTGTATTGCTGGGAACACGAATATCGAAAAATACCTTGATACCGGTAATGGCGACAACTGCTTTCTAGCCATTGACGAGATACCCATAGAGGCGAAGAATATAATGAGGAATTTGATTAAAATATTCTTTAGCTTCTCCTATGTCAACTGGCATGAATGGAATACCTCGATGGTTCGCTATTTCGTCATTGAGAGTTGAAGTCGAGCCCCCATTGTTTCTCGCAACTAGTTCATCACGAGTTGGAAGGCCCGACAAGTAATTCTCACTTCCATATCTGATTACCCGACCTGATGTTTTATATATTTCGACCTCTGGGCGAAAAGGGGCGGGCGCGTCGGAGAGGAACTCTGAAAGTGAGGATTGGGTCATGTTATTATATCACAAATATACAGTTCGAGAGAAACTATATACTCAGGGAGAAATAAGTTTAAAATGAAAATTAATTCCGAAATATATAAATCGACACATAAACCGACTATTCATAGTTATTAAAAATGGTATTTTATCGATGTACTTATATTCAAAGGAGTGGTAAGATTTGCAATCGGGGATGCTACCATCCGAAAGGATGCCATATTCACTGCAATTCTCCTTCTCAGATACCCTGCAAAGAATGCGGTGAATTAACTTATGGCAGATATGGATTTTGCGATATTCATGCTAGAAAGCACCGTAAAAAAGAACAGTACCATCGGAACAAGCTGGCGAACTTGGCTTCGACGCAGTTATTGGTAAATAATTTATAGGTAAACAAAAATAATACAACTTGTCACTAGTGGATTCCAAAGGGATCGTGTCACTAGAAAAAAAAAAGCCAGTGACAGAACTAGTGACGTGAACGATAGGCTCTTTAAGAATTCTAGGCTGAAAGAAACCTTTCTTGATGGATGTCACTAGTGTCACTAGTGTCACTGGAAAAAATCTGAGTTCCTTAACTTTTTTTATTTTTTTATAGCATACATTTATTATAATATATCTTGTGTAAAGTAGGTAGCATAGAAAAAATTTGATTTTTTTTTTCTAATTTATTACTCTTTTACTAGTGACACTAGTGACACTAATCAAGAAAGAAATAAAATAGCCTAATAATCTCAAGAAAGATAACAAAGCTGTCACTAGTTCTGTCACCAGTTAGTATTCGGAACTAGTGACACTAGTGACAGCCGATGACAACAAAAAATCGTCCCAATTTATATCCTAATATGCCTGAAAATGTGGTAAAATATAATATAAATGCGTTCTAATGATTCAAATCTCGGAACACGAAATCGGCATACATATACTGGCGCAATAGTTAGACCACAAGATGGTGTACTTCTTAGCAAACAAATGGGCTGGCCAAGCTAATACAAATTGCACGCCCAATAGAATACCCAAAATCGATATTAAAGTTAGATAAATTTTATTCTTATTTTTGGCGCAATAGATTTTTGTTCAATTTCGATGACGTAATATTCCATAAATTCGACCACAACTTTACTTTTACTAGGGACACGAAGTTGGCATACATAAACCGGCAACAAATAGGATTACAAAATCAGCGCACTTCTGGCAATTAAATGGGCCGGCCATAATATACGGAACTAGTGACAACCAGATAACTAAATTTGCTATATTATGACAGAGGGTGTTCGGTGCCGTAACAGAATCACGTGACCAGAGCAGTAGGCACAGTCAAGATTCGCTCCATAATTTTGGCCAGTACTATTCCATAAAATCGGCTTTTGGACATAATAATTTGGCATCCAAGCTGGCAAACTACCAGTTCCATAACATTTCCATGGTAATCCCCTGTCAGTTCCCTGCCAGTTCCATGACAGTTTCAGGATACTATCAGGTCACTACTATGGCGCCAAGCTGAATCCCGAATTATATGCCCTAAAGATCAGCCAGAATTAAGACATAGTGCCAGCTGAAATTAATCTACTATAATCTACTGCGCCACCCGACACGATATTTTTTTTTACCATATTTCAGCATTCTGGCAGGCAACAAAATAGGTAAAGAAGAAAAGCACCCTCGAATCCTTAACAGGCAACCAAAGAGGCGCAGAATGGCAAAAACTTCATCATAAAACTTAGAATCCAAATAATTGCAGACAGGCTGGACCTCCAACATAGAATTTAATAACCAATCAACCATAGAAACCCAATAACATAAATTATATTAGAAAAAGATTATTGGCGCAGAGAACCAAACAAAAATAGGTACATTTAAATTATTTAGTAACAGTAATATTTAGGTTATTTAATCACATGATCACAAATAATAAATGGGAAAAAGCTAAAGAAAAGCGGATTCAAAGGGAAGGAATATAGTAAGAAAAATAACTAGGTATACAAAATTGTCACAAACAGGTTATTTAGTTAGAGTATTTAATCATATTTAGGTTATTAACTTTAGATTATTTAGATATATTTAAATTATTTAGTTATATTTAGATTATTTATAGTCATACTTAGATTATTTAGTTATATTTAGATTATTTATAGTCATACTTAGATTATTTAGTTATAGTTAGATTATTTTATTACTAAATAACCTAGTCTAAGCCGTTTATGACTAAATAATATAATTATATTATTTAGTCATAAACGGCTTGTCTGGACCATATTTTTTCAATAACAAAACTTTTATTTTTTATTTTTTCTTTACTTCGCTTATAGTTAATACACTTTTATTTTATTTCATATACTTCAAGTAAATACTTGATAGCAAAAAACCCACTGTAGTTTATTTTAGTATTAGAAATTTTCTTTTGTTTTTTTTCTTTTATTCCTATTCTTTACGCGTTTTTTCTCTCTTTGTGGTGTTCTTGGACTAAAGATGGTCTGGAGAGGCGTATCACCCAGAATAAGCAAACTTGGAACAACAGCAACTAATGAACTCCTTAATAACAAAGACTTTGTGGATTTTCTCCATAACAACTTTCTATATACCAATAGGCCCTCCTTCTTCAAGATACTGAAACAAGCTATCAAGAAGCACGAGACAGCTCCACAACGACTTAAGCACCATACACAAGACTATCTCTGGGAGACTTTAACTAGTCTACTCGAACGATATGACCTATATACACCTTTACCTTTTTCTACACCTTCTTCGACGCCCATTGTTTATAAATACCCGCTGGCGTTTCCTATTCATCAAGTCACAAGACTCCCGATTAGGTCACCATCAAATGAATTTAGATTAGATCATGTCATAAACTAAATGCGTTTCTGGATACCTTCCGCAACTTGCCGGCCCACCTACAAATAACAACAAATGATTCAGAAGACAACTTTCATTTTGGGAAAACTTACAGAACAGACAACTGCTTTTGGAATTTTACCAGCTTTTTTGGTATAACGTTCGGTATATACTTTTACCGATATTGTGAAACTAACCAAATTTAGTTTCTCTTTAAACAACCTTTGATAAATGCTTTAGACCTCATCTTCGACTGTACCTACACACTTCGGAGGAAGAAGAATAGAGACAAAAATTGGCTTTATGAATCCCAGACATATTTTTTCTTTTTATTCTCTTCTTTTTTTTCTTTTGTTTATCAATTTTTTTGTTTATTTTTTAGAATTAGTATTAGTTTTAGTTTTCGTTTAAACAACTTTATTTTGGATAGAGCTTACTTGGGATGGTTGATTAGAATTAATATTGGTTGGCAGATAATAGTGTTCCAGAACTAATACCGTGATAATGGACATCCGATGTTAGAGTCCGCCTTTATATATGACAAGCAACCTTCTATCAGTAAATGGGGCCTCACACTAGTTGACCTAAAGAATTGGAAACATGTCATTTTCACTACAGCTGGCCAGTTCTGGTTTAATTGTGTGTACCTTAGACCCTATGGCTTGGATAATGAATACCACTCTTTTTCAATTTCTTTGGGCCGCTTTTAAGAGGAACGATCTGAAGGATATCTTCTATTTTATACATTTTCTTACTTACATTTTAAAGTTTTTTTTTCTTTTTTATTTGCAATGTAGTGGGTCCTGTGAATGCCTTGTGAAGAAAAAGGGGCATTTATGCTAAGAATAACCGTTTTAAAACGAATCATACTCTCTAAGCAAAAATTTCATCTGACAGTGCACATGTGGGGTGCTTTCATGCATGACGAGTGGTTTGGTAGTTAATAATATTAGATAGTTTAGATTTAGTTTTTGTCATAATTGTATTCTCTGAATCTTGTTTTCTGTTTAATAAACTATCAAATGCATTGCAGAAAAAAAAAAAAAAAAAAATAA